GGCGAGAACGCCATCCTGAACGACGGAGGCCAAACGCCGATCCGAAAATGAGGCCCACGCTGCAGCGGGAGCACGATTCGAAACGATTCGGGAGCAGAAATGAGGCCGGCGCCTCAGCGAGAGCAGCATTTTGAAAAAAACGCAGGCGAAAAACCCGTTTCCCGGGAATCCTGTGTGTAAAAAAACAGTACGCGGGGGGAGTTCGGCCATCCTCGGGACGCCATCAGGGGAAGTGGGAGAGTATTTCATATTGTGTAATTGTGGAGGAGGAGGAGAGGAGGAGGAGGAGGAGGAGAGGAGGAGGAGGGAGGAGGAGGAGGGGAGGAGGCCCAGGAGGTTCGACGGACGAGGAGGAGGAGGAGGAGGAGGAGGAGGAGGAGGAGGAGGAGGAGGAGGAGGAGGAGGAGGAAGGAGGAGGTCGACGAGGAAGGGAGGAAGAGGAGGATGAGGAAAGAGGAGGAGGAGGAGGAGGAGGAAGAGGAACAACGCCATATGCGGACGCATAAGTTCTGGGCAACGCACAAGGAGGAGAAGGATGAGGAGGATGAGGAGGAAGAGGAGGAGGAATATCTCCGCATGCGGACGCACAACGTGTGGGCATCGCACAAGGAGGAGGAAGAGGAGGAGGAGGAGGAGGTAGGAGGAGGAGGAGGAGGAGGAGGAAAGGTGAGGAGGATGGATGATAGGTCGAAGTAGGAGGCGAATGAGAAAGGGAGGAGGAGGAGGAGGAGGAGGAGGAGGAGGAGGAGGAGGAGGAGGAGGAGGAGGAGGGAGGAGGGGAGGAGAGGAGAAGGAGGAGGAAGGAGGGGAGGAGGAGGAGGAGGAGGAGGAGGAGGAGGAGGAGGAGGAGGAGGAGGAGGTGAAGGAGACCCACGAAGCCGCGAAGGCCCTCCAAGAGGAGGCCTCTCCCTGCACTGGGGGGCGGTTTCCCAGGGTGGACTTTCGAGTGCGGGGAGGGGTAGGGGTCCTTCCCAGTTCTGGGAGGAGGGGTTCTGTTCTCTTGTGGAGGGGGAGCGCGCGCGCCTGTCGCGCTCTGTGGCGATGACAGCTGTCCGCCTGTCTGGACGCTGCCTGCCCGCCGCCGCCCAGGCGCCGTCCGATCGCGTGCGGTTTGAGATGCTCCACATCTACGAGGACCACGGCGGGGCGTTGGCCAAGCAGACGCAGGTCGTGTCGGAGCTCACCGGGTCGCAGTACCGCACCCCAAGGACGCGCGGCGTCGTCGTCGTCGTCGTCGTCGTCGTCGTGCTCGTCGTGGTCCTCTTCCTTCTCCTCCTCCTTCTCCTCGTCCTCCTCCTCCTCCAGCTCCTTCTTCTCCTCTTCCTCTTCCTCCCCCTTCCTCCCATTCTATAACGAGTCGAGATGAATGTTACCCTCCTCTCCCCCTGACTACGTCCTGGTGATATTCCGCCCTTTCCGTTTTTTATGTGTTTATTTGTTTATCGAAGACGCCTACGGCGAATCACCGCCGCCCCCCTGCCTTTTTGGAAGCGCCTGCGTGGCCGAAAGTTGCGTTTTCGCTAGGGACATCTTCAGAACATGCCCGGCAGCACGGCGGACCAGAAAAAACAAGAGCACGGCAGACAATTTACTTTTCGCTGGGGACATCCTCAAAACAATGAGATGTTCTCAACATCGTCTTGACATCGTTCTTGACGTGCTTCAAGAGGAAGACTTGAGAGCCCCAAAAGGACCTCAATTGCTTCAAGAGCGCCCTGATGATTGCCGAAAATGACGATTTCGCTGGAGACATCCTCAAACAATGAAACAATACGACAGCATCGTTTTGAAAACTACATCGTCTTGGGATCGCTCTTGGAAAGGCTTCCAGACGGCCTAAACCAGACTTCTAACAATGACGATCTCGCTAGGGACATCCTCAAACAAGAGATGTGTGTGACATCGGATTGGTATGTTTTGATGGCATCGAGGCAGCCCCAAACGAACCCCAAACGAGGCCCAAAATATGACCCCAAGCGCGCCTTCGAGATTCCTCAAAGTTCGCATTTCGCTCGAGACATCCTCACCAACCCCGCCTTTCACAAAAACAAACACTTCGCCTGAGACATCCACCAGGCAATGATTATCGCGTATTTAACAAACCTTGGGACATAGGGATATCGCCTGAGACATCCTCGAAAACACGAGATGCCGAAACGGCTAATTGAAGCCCATGCGTGTTAAAACTGAACTTTTCGCCTGAGACATCTTCAGACAATGGGCAGGATCACGGCAGCCCAAGACGCAGAAGCACGGCAGAACGCGCGAGAGCACGGCAGAACACAGGAGCACGGCAGAACACACAGGAGCACGGCAGAACCCAAAGAACACCTTCGGGAGCACGGCAGAACAAACAGGAGCACAGCAGAACACACAGGAGTACGGCAGGACACACAGGAACACGAGGAGCGCGGCAGAACACACAGGGGCACGGCAGAACACAGGAACAGGAGGAGCACGGCAGAGCACGGCAGATCAAGCAGGATAGCGGCAGACCGCAGGAGCATGGCAGAACACACAGGAGCACAGCACAACACACAAAACACACAGGAGCACGGCAGAACAAGCAGGAGCGCGGCAGAACCCACAGGAGCACGGCAATACACATAGGAGCACGGCAGAACGCATAGGAGCACGGCAGAGCAGGACCATGGCAGAATACACAGGAGAACGGCAGAACACACAGGAGCACGGCAGAACGCGCAGGAGCATGGCGGAACACACATAACATTTATTCACACAGCCGCACCCACAGACACACGCACATAGGCACACGCACACAGGCACACGCACACGCACACGCACGCACAGACACATACACACACGCACACACACGCACACACACAGAGGTAACATACGTTCACGTAGACCGCAGGAGCACGGCAGAGCAGCACGGCATACACACAGCAGTGCCGCAGACCACCACGCACGGACACACATGCACATATTCCACGCACGCATGCGCACGCATGCGCACGCGCAAACGCACGCACGCCACGACATATCTGCGCGGCAGACCAACAAAAGAGCATACTTCACATACCTAGTGGACAAAAGCGACGCTTCCCGTTCTTGTCCGGTCAGGTTTCCCTCGCTTCGCGTGGTGAGGGCACGGGAGTTTGGAACGTCCTGGGAGTTTCGGCAACCGGGGGTCGGCGGATTCAAGAGGCTCACGCCATTCTGCCGACCCCCAGAGGGAGGACGATATCCGATGCCGACGGGCTTCCTGGCGGATGCCTTTGTTTTGTTGTTGTTGTTGTTGTTGTTGTTGTTGTTGTTGTTGTTGTTGTTGTTGTTGTTGTTGTTGAACATTAATTCTAAAGAATAATTATTGTTGGGGCCCCTGGTGCACGCCCCCCCGCCGCGCCTAGGCCGCAGCTACATTTTCATCATTTTCGTGAGGAAGCCTCAGGTAATTCGATGTGATCAAGATCCGGTTGTTTTGTTCCCCCCCGCTTTCCCTTGCAAAAAACACTATAAAATGAAATGTCTTGTTCAAATGTAATCAAATTTCAAGAATCCCTTGCAAAAAATAAGGTAAAGTGGACATTCGCGCGCGCAAGACGAAATCCTTCCAAAAGCTTAGTGTTCGGAACGATTTCAACATACAAACATCAAAAAACCAATGGTTTTTCAACAAAAAAAATGTCAAAATCTCATCCCGCGCGCTCTTGCGGATTCGTAGGAAACCCAACACTTTTTCAACATTTCTGACAAACGGGCTTTTGCGAGCAACTTTTTCGAACTTCTGCGACAACGGTTGCGCACCTGCCAGGGCCATCATCCCTGTCAAATAATACCATGCGGGACAGATTCGTTTTTTTCTTCGCGCGCGCACGCCGAAATCTCCAAAAACCATTGGGTTCTTAAGAATTTTACCACCATCATGTTCTGTGGGTGTGTACCCCACGCCAGTGTAGTAGCCACGGTCGTCCGCACGCCACGAAGTGAAGTGTCCCAACGTCATAGGGCGGGAAGCTGGGTTTGGGTGGTCGCGAAGAGTCGTTTGGATATTTGGTCGAGCTTGTACTGCCCCCCCACGAAGTGGGGGTATTGCCTGGTGTCGTATGAAAACCCTGGCACTGGGGAGAACACCACGCGTTCGGGTAAAATGATTGTTGTTGTTGAACATTATTCCTTCTAAAGAATTATTATTGTTGGGACCCCTGGTGCGCGACCTCTGCGCCGCGCCTAGGCCGCAGCTACATTTTCATCATTTTTTCGCGAAAGCTTCAGAAAAGTGGATGAGCTCCGGATCCGGTTTTTGGTTGACGCTCGTTTTCCCTTGCAAAAAACAATAGAAAATGAAAATTCTTGTTTTTACTTGATCAAATTGCAAGAATCCCTTGCAAAAAATAAGGTAAAGTGGACATTCGTGCGCGCAAGACGAAATCCTTCCAAAACCTTAGGTTTCGTAGCGATTTAACATAAAAACATCAAAAACCCAATGGTTTTTTAAGAAAAAATTGTCAAAATGTCCTTCCGCGCGCGCTGTCCGAATCCCACAAAACCAATGGTTTTTCAACATTTATGTTACATGAGCTCGCGCGAGCTACTTTTTTCTTGTTCTAACATAATCAAATTTCAATAATCCCTTGCAAAAAATAAGGTAAAGTGGACATTCGCGCGCGCAAGACGAAATCCTTCCAGAACCTTAGGTTTCGTAGCGATTTCAACATAAAAACATCACAAACCCAATGGTTTTTCAAAAAAAAATGTCCAAATTTCATCCCGCGCGCGCTGTCCGACTCCCACAAAACCAAATGGTTTTTCAACATTTATGTTACATAAGCTCGCGAGAGCTACTTTTTCTTGTTCTTACATAATCAAATTTCAACATCCCTTGCAAAAAAAAAGTAAAGTGGACATTCGCGCGCGCAAGACCAACAAAAAACACAACGATCTCAGGAACTTGCCCCAAAAATGTGACCAACTCCGCTCTCTCTGTCTCTCTCTCTGTCTGCTCTCTGTCTCTCTCTCTGTCTGTCTGTGTCATGTATTGTATGTCACAATTGCAGGATGCTGGGCACACGCGCGCCCCGAATAAGTGACCAAGTTCTGTGGGTGTGTACCCCCACGATGCGCCAGTGTAGTACCACGGTCGTCCGCACGCCACGAAGTGAAGTGTCCCAACGTCATAGGCGGGAAGTGGGTTTTGGTGGTCGCGGAAGAGTCCGTTTGATAGTGGTAGAGGCTTGAACTGCCCCCCCACGAAGTGGGGGTATTGTCTCGCGTCGCATGAAAACCCTGGCACTGGTGAGAACACTGAGCGTTCGGGTAAAATGATTGTTGTTGTTGTTGTTGGTGTCGTTGTTGTTGTCGTCGTTTTGTTGTTGTTGTTGGTGTGGTTGTTGTTGTTGTTGTTGTTGTTGTTGGTGTTGGTGTTGGTGTTGTTGTTGTTGTTGTTGTTGTCGTCGTTTTGTTGTTGTTGGTGTGGTTGTTGTTGTTGTTGTTGTTGGTGTTGGTGTTGTTGTTGTTGTTGTTGTTGTTGTTGTTGTTGTCGTTGTCGTCGTTGTTGTTGTTGTTGTTGTTGTTGTTGTTGTTTTTGTTGTTGTTGTGGTTGTTGTTGTTTTTGTTGTTGTTGCTGCTGAATGCTAATTACTGAACAATCACTAGTGTTGGACTCCCCCAGGCGCTTTGGCGCTTTCGATTCGGCGCCGGCTACATTTTCATTGCAAATGAGGCTCACGGTCAAGCGGTTCGCGGGGCGCCCAAACCGGCCCCTTAACAACAACAACTACGCTTCCGCTCGAGATGTCGCCCTTTGTTACTTATGGCCAGTGCTCTTGCTCGCCGCCGAAAGCCGCCGTCCCAACAAAACCAGCGCTACCGCTCGAGACTTCGCCCCGTTTTACTTTGGAGTGGCGCGTCACTCCTCTCTCATCGGCGCCGCCCCCAGCAACAACAACGCGCCCGCTCGAGACGTCTTCCTTTGTTACTCAAGGCGGTGCTCCTCCTCGCCGCCGAAAGCCGCCGTCCGACAAAGCCAGCGCTCCCGCCCGAGACTTCCTCCCGTTTTACGGTGGACTGGCGCCCTACTCTCTTTTGAGTTGGCGCCGCTCCCAGCAAGAACAACGCTCCCGCTCGAGGTTTCCTCCCTTTTTCCTCAGGGCGGTGCTGCTGTTCTTCTTCGCCGCCGACAGCCCTTGTCCCGACAAAACCACGGCTCCCGCTCGAGACTTTTTCCCTTCTCGTTCAAGGCGGTCGTC